GCCTCCAGGCTTGGAGGGCTTGCCCTGTGTTGATTGGCCAACTGGTTGTTATGGCCCATAGGCCCTCCCAGGGTGGTTGCTATGCTTTGTGCGTCATTGCTGTGCGCTTGTCTGTAAAGCACACCCAGGGTCATAAAGCATAGCGCCACCAGCTAACTTCTGATTGGTTCCTTGTCACGAGGCAGGTATTTGACTTTCTAGTGTCTAGGACAAGGTCATAGAAGCACGTGTTCGGCCGTTATGGCTGCCAAAAAGGAAGCTGGTCCCTTCAGTAGCACTATACATTTACAAAAGTCAAGACTTACCAGCTACTCCCATCCCTCCCTTGTTTATCCCCCCAAATATGGTTGGTGTTTCCTTCCTGTGTTTCTTTTTGTCAGCGTAGGCACATGTATAACTTTATATTTTCTTACTATGACACAAAAGGCTATCCACTGTGTATTCTCTTTTTAACTTTTACATGCGGGACAGTGGTGGCACACCTTTAATCCCAGCACTTGGGTGGAAGAGGCAGGTAGATCTATGTGAGTTTGAGGCCTGATCTACAGAGTCAGTGCCAGGACAGACTCCAAAGCTACACAGAGAAACCCTGTCTCGGGAAAAAAACAAAAACCTTGCATATCCTGATAGTCCCTTCATATTAATTTGTAAAGACCCTTCTCCCTTTCTGTGGCTGTTGCATGGACATACCGGAGTTTCTTCACACTTAGACGGCTAACTAAGCTTTTTTCAGTCATAGGGTTGTGATGAATAACCTTATGTCCATGTGTTGTTCTGCTGTTAGGCTCACTACATCAGAAGATACACAGGTTTTGAAATGATGCTACTCCCCCCCATACACCCCAAAAGTGGGGAGATTTATATTAGAATTTGTTCTCAGCAGTCAGTCTCCATAGCCATGTCAGGACTGTGTGTTGCATCCTTTTTTTTTTTTTTTTTTGGTTTTTCGAGACACGGTTTCTCTGTGGCTTTGGAGGCTGTCCTGGAACTAGCTCTTGTAGACCAGGCTGGTCTTGAACTCACGGAGATCCGCCTGCCTCTGCCTCCTGAATGCTGGGATTAAAGGCGTGCGCCACCAACGCCTGGCATACATCCTTATTTTTTGACAGTGTAAATATATGAAGCCAGGAGCTGTGGCACATGCTGTTAATCCCAACGCTTGAGAGGCAGAGACTAGTGGACCCTGTGAGTTCCAGGCCAGCCAGAGCTGCAGAGAGATTGTCTCAGATCACGATAAATAGATGGCAGCTACAGCAGCCTGAGGAATTCCCCTAATCTTTTAGGGACCTTGGCACAGATTAGCCTGAGATTGGTGGCTTTAATGCAAAAGAGTTTGAGTTCTAGCCAATATAAAGGAGGGTTAGGGTTTAATAAAGCTATTTTAATCGAGGCTTAAGCAGGAGTTCTATGAGAAAGGGAGTTGCTCAGAAGACAGCAAGGTAATGAGAGTGCTGAGCTTTGAGTGGTCACAGCTGTCTGTCTCCTTAAATAATAGTGATTCGTAAGGTTCAGATAGGGTTTGAATTTACTATTTTCAGAGAGTTGTTAAGAAACCTGATGAGACCACCAGGTGGTTCCTGAGGGCAGCCGTCAGATTACAGTTGCTGACAAGGAAGGTTAAGATGTCTTCCTGTAAACAAAGGTAACGATTTTGTTTGAGATGCTCAGATGCTCAGGATGTTTGGAAATAGGAATAAGACCCCAACCGAGAGTTCCTGCACATTAGGTCTCAAGCCGGGGTATCTGTTATGTATCATAAATTAGATGTCCACAAAGGAAAAATCATTGTGTCAGCAGCTTTTAAGGCAAGTGTGGATTGTCTGGGGGCTCTTGCATCTCAGCCGGAGAGAGCACAGTCAATCTGGAGTGGGGAGGCCCCCTTCTCTTCTGTGTTCCCATAAGTTCCCTTCCCTTCTGTCCTGACTCTAAGTGGCATCTCAGTTTAATTTGAATTTATTAGTGAAATTGAATAAAAGTAATACATCCATTCATATCTTTTTATTCTTACGTGAATTGTTTTATGGCCATTGTTATTGTATTTGGAGTTTCCCCACCTTTATGTCCTTTACCTGCTTTTTAATTGGAAGGTTATAGGTTTATTTTATATCTCCTTCTTTCCTGAATGGTTTTACTGTTTTGATTTTATTATTGATGATCCAAAGTCCTCTAGATTTGTATCCATTAAAACTTCAAACAAGAGAGGAATTGGAGTTGTGTATTGATCAATGGCAGAACACTTGCCTAGCATGCACGAAGTCCTGGGGCCCATCTCTAGCCTAGAAAGAAATGAGGAGGGAGGGAAAGAGGGCAGAAGAAAATGAAGGAGGGGTGGGGAAAGAACTAACTCTAAAAAGGAAAATTGTGCTTTTTTCACTTACTGTTACATCTTTGATTTTCTATTATTAGTTTAGTAGCCAATAATGCTAGCAGAATGTTATGTAAGTGTTGGAGGTGCTAGACATCACTATGGTAGAAATAACAAATAGTGTTTATTCATTAAGTAAGATTCTGTAGTTAGGGTAAGGCATGTGTTTTATTAAGGAAATTCTTGATTTGGGGGATTGCTTTACAGGCATAGGTAATGAAATTTGTCACAGGTATTTTCACTATAGAAACATTGATGGGTGGCATTGGAAAGAGCATTGGAAAGCTTATTAGATAGTGGATTTCTTAACTTTAACCCACCTTGAGCTACCATGACTCTCACCTGAGAAAGCTGCAGCTTTTTAGCTGGTAGTTCCTGTGTTTTAATGTTGTACCTAGTATTTTCTCACTGATGTTCATAATAATATTTGTCTGTAGCTTTATTGTCAGTAACTTTATTTTTTCTATATACAGTACTTGTCTATTTTCCTGGAAGATTATTTTGTGTGGTTTTCAAATTGGCATGCAGGTACACATAATAATGCCTATAATGAGTTTTAAGATTTGCCTTTTTACAAAGATAACTTCTCTTTGAATTTCATTACATAATTTTTTCTTTTTTTAACTTTAAGTTAGATTTCCATTTTGCTATTTTTTTGTAATAATCCAGGATTATTATGTATTAACAGATAAATAAATCCATAGTTGATCTATTCTCCACTTCATCATTTTATATTTTTTTTTAGTGTTTTTGTTTTATATTTTCTTGAGAGTTTTGAGCATAATTATTTCCTTTATTTATGTCTACTTAGAAATTTACTTCATTTTTATCCTCACTTAATTTAAAATTAATTTTATTGTTTATTTTTGAGAGAGTGTCTTGGTATATCCAATTTCAGCCTTGGATTTCTGAACCTTCTGCTGTAGCCTCTTAGGTGCTGGGATTGTAGGCTGCATTACCTTGCATTGCTGTTTCATTTTAACTGATGCAAACACCCAGGATTATGAACTTCCCTACTGATTATTCTATTAAGTGTATTTGGTGGTTCTGAGATGTAGCATTCTCACTGAATGTTAATTTGTTTGAAATTCTGTATTTCTGGTTTATATTTTCTTTCTACCAAAGTGTTTATTAATATTTCAGTTTTCTCACAGTATAGGAAGCGATGAAATGTTAAAATTATGATTAAAAGCATTTTGCTTCAGGTATTTTAAAACAAGGATAATTCATAACTGTCCCTCGAAGGGTAGTGGTGAGTGTGAACAGAAAGCATTTGTGACGTTCCCAAGTTATAACTGCCACCCAGAAGATAGCAGCTAAAAGTGTTATGGATTTTTTTTTCTCCCATGACTAGTTTTACACTGTGTGGACTAAGTTATTACTGTCATTTCTTCCTGACTCTGGTTAGTGGGAGTGCACAGTGTCGTGAAGCATGATGCCATCATGGATGGGACCAACCCGGATTATGTGCTGGTGGAGGCTGAAGCCACCCGAGTGGCTCAGGATGCCTTGAAAGCGCTCAAGTTCTCTCGTCAGCAATGCCTGGGGGCGGCATCTGGCGTTCCCACCTGGACTGGCCACAGGGGCATTTCTGGTGCACCAGCAGGAATAAAGTAAGAGATCACCCCTGGCATGCTCGCAAGGAGCCCCGATGGTTGAGACTAGCTGCACAGGCTTGTCTGCAGGACTAGAAGTTCCCTTAGAGAGGTTCGTGTGGGTCAGGCTTGAGTGAGTTGGGAAAGTACCGTTGTCTTTCTTGTCTTTCATTTCTGGCTTTCTTGAGACAACTTTTCAGGGGAAGAAGCGATCAGCTTTGCTTGAGAGATGATGTTTAAAATAGTGAGAAATACAAATAATGACTAAATGTTAATAAGACAATTAGCCAGTTTATAGCCATCAGTAATAATCATGCTAATTATAATATTAGCATATTATTTTGTAGTAATTACCCAGGATGCTTTCTCATGTCTAGTATTGAGGATACTGAGTAGCTCTCACTCTGAGAGGAAGCCCTCACACCTCACAAGAGTATAGCAGTCAAAGTGGGTAGAGCAGGAGTGTGGGCATCTGAAGGCAGTGGTTTTCCCAGGAAGAGTTCAGTTGTTGAAAGTACTCTGCTCTCTGTGTCACAGCTGCTAACCCTCTATCGACCTGACTCTCTTCCTTATTTAGGAATAGGTTCGGTAAGAAGAGGAACTCCAATCTCCCTGTGCAGCGTTCTTCTTCATCACTCACAGAAAAGCATCAGGTAACAGGGGAGCCTGACTGCCTCTCGTGTTTGAGATTTGCTTGGATGCCCAAGAGAAGGTCATTTAGATGTGAAGGAAATGGTTGTAACTGATGTGGTGGTAGCTGATACTGTAGGCTCTGGGTTGTGATGTACTTTCATTTGAGTCTAAGGGCCAGCTAGCTTCCTAGAAACCACTCTCGCAGATTCTCTGCTAAAGCTTGGACTTAGTCTGCACCTACCAGGTGGGGACGTGTCAGCTCTAGAGGCACCACTGTCTAAGTCGAATGGCCAGAGAACCTTCTTGAATGTTGGCAAAGTACCCATCCTTCACCACACTGCAGCAATGGTAAAAGTGGGAGAACACCTCTCTGTCTTTCTCAGACTTGAAAACTCCCAGGCTACAACTAGTTCTAGATCCCTGTGAACACACTTAGGAACAGAGACTTGTTCCAGTCTCCCGGGGGTTAGCAGCAGGCACTTGAGGCACTTCCCAGGTCAGATCTGTGTTTTAATGAAACACTGGAGAGGCAGGATGGGAAAGAGGAAGAACGCTGAAAAGTGGAGAGAGTGACAGCTGCTCATTGTCCCATGGTGGGGGCCAGGGTGCCTGTGGGAGAAAGAGCTGGACAAGTTGGTGGCCATAGGGCGCTGGCCTAGGCCTCTCAGAAGACCTTCTCAGGCACCGGGCCTGCAGGGCAGGGTCTCCCTCAGCTCCTCTGCTCTCACATTCTGGCATCTGGGAGATGGCTTCATTTCATTCCTTCCTGCTTATGTCTTTAGGAAGCGCCTGTCACAAATGGGTAGTTTTATGTCCGCATCCTTTACCTTGGCATTAGATGGGGTCCCAGTCTTTTGCTCACATCTCACCACATGGCATTTGGGTTATACTGTGGGTCCTCATAGCCTTTGGGGAACTAGGTGGGGGAGTAAGCTGGAAGTTCAGTTTGCTAATGTGTGGTCTTCTTCCTCTAGAACAATGTGAAAAAGGAGGGGAAAGCTCCTGCCCCTGAGCACTTCAGTGGCAAAGAAGATGGAGTGTCGTTGTCTGGAGCCCCCAGTTCCTCCTCACTCTTGGCCAGAATGCGAGCAAGAAACCACCTCATCCTGCCGGAGCGCTTAGAGACTGACAGCGGGCACCTTGCTGAGGCTGCTGCCTTGCCTCCCTGCAGCACAGAACATGACGACCTTCTGGTGGAGATGAGGAACTTCATTGCTTTCCAGGCCCAGGTGGATGGTCAGGCCAGCACTCAGGAGATTCTACAGGAATTTGAATCCAAGCTATCGGTGGCACAATCGTGCGTCTTCCGAGAACTACTGAGAAATCTGTGCAATTTTCATAGAACTCCTGGTGGTGAAGGGATTTGGAAACTGAAGCCAGAGTACTGCTGAACAGCGATGCTTCCTGGACTTTTTCAAATGGCAATCTTGACTCACCAATCCTGTGATTAGTGATTGTGTGTGTGTGTGTGTGTGTGTGTGTGTGTGGTCATCAAATGGCAATCTTGACTCACCAATCCTGTGATTAGTGATTGTGTGTGTGTGTGTGTGTGTGTGTGTGTGTGGTCATGACTGCAATTGGTATTTACTGTGTCATCTACCTCAAGACTAAAACTTGAAGAAGAAACTGCTTGGAGAATTTTTTGGTTTGTTTTTTATTTTGGTGGCACTATGGATTATGTCCTAAAACCAGGGACCTAATAGTTGCTTATTGGAGCAAATATATTTCTTAACCCAAAAGATACTGTCAGGGAGCACATACTACTTAAGAATAGAAACCTCGGTTCTTACAGATGCTGGGAACATGTCTTCTGTTTATTCCACCCTTGCCCATAAGTCAGCTCATCAATATCTGGTCACCTCAGTACCTTGATTCAGAACTATAAATTTAGTTTCTGTCCTGCTGGCCACATCAGAAAGAGATTTGTTATCTGTCAAATCATCAACTACCTATTAGTAATTCTTCGCAGCACTGTTCAATTAGCAGGCTTGGGTTTTGTTGTCCATTTGTTTTAAATGGTACCTTGTGTATGCTAAGCCTGTGCTTTACCACCAATTTCCACCTGGGTTCTGTGTACACACACACACACACACACACACACACACACACACACACCTACCTTCAAGAAGGAAGGAAGGGTCTTATTTTCTGTTCTTTGTCATTATCTAAAGATTGTAGAAGAGGCTTGTTAAATAGGTCAATAAGTTCTAAACATTCATACCTGGCTCAGAAGGAAGTCCCAACACTTGTTTGTTTTGGGAGGGCTCTTTGTTTATTTTTCCTTCTGGCCATTAGCCTGCAGGAAGTGATAATGCCCTTGTTCTTGAGCTGAAGTGCTAACCTGACTTGTTAGTGTGAAGCATTAATGCATTATGCCTGTAATGTCTGGGATCTAAGTTATAGTGAGCTAGAGAAGGTATAGACATGCCTTTAATTAACTGTGGGTAAGTCCATGTTCCAGCTCTGCCCCTGCCCTGCCCTACCCTGCCCAACCTGTTGGGTAGGTTGAGTCTCAGGGCAGTGCTCTGTTAACATGGCCATCCAGCCAACCTGGGAGAAGCTTAGAGACCATCTCTAAGTTAGAATAGTTTTTAATAATACAAAGCACCTTTATAAATTAAGCTGCAATCTGAGTTTTTGAACATTAAATACTTTGTACAGTGTAAATAGATTAAATGTATTAAACGTGTTATATAATTATAAATAAAGGATTTTTAAAGATACCACCTTTTTACTGTCTTGTCACTGTTGAAAGCCTTCAAGAAGTCTCCACCTTCCCACAGTCTTGCTGCTGTGCCAGAGTCCCATGCAGTTGTCCAGGCTTTTACATGGTTGCTGGTGTGGGCTGCTCCTCTCTGAGTTTTACCTGGACACATGACTGCTCAGCTAATTGCTTCTCAGCTTCCCAGGCAGGTAATTGTGACTACATGACAGTTCTAGGCAGTGAGACGGAAGCCTTCCAGCTTGAAGCTTAAACAAAGAGTCGTGCTGTGCACTTGCCTCACAGTTCCCTGTTTTGCTGGCTGGGATGTTTGAGAGCCTCAGTGGGGCTCCTAGTGTGTGTGTGTTGAGGTTTGAGTAGTTGGTCTTTGAGTGAAATAAGTGAATACTTGTTTAACACTGTTTTAGAGATAGTTTTAACACCTAATTTGTTTTCTTCACATATTCATTGAATAAAATTTTCATGTTACATCTAACTTTCACAGTATAGAGGCGTTTTCACTCCAATGATACAACTCTACTTTCACTGAACTCTAAACCCATTACAGGCTCTTTGCCCATGGCAGGTAGTTTCCATCTTGGTAGAATGTTTTAAAGTCACTCTTGTGACTAAAAATGACCTTATTTTAACCTGAATTTCCCTGACTTATTTAACACTAGACATTTCCATGTTTGTTGGTTATGTGCAGATGTTTGCTTTATCTTACTTGATCATACAAGTTTTCTTTTTTTTAATCATTTTTATTTGAATTAGAAACAAGATTGAATTACATGACAATCCCAGTTCCCTTCTCCCTCCCATCCTCCCCCCTGCCCCCCCCAACTAAAACCCTATGTATCACATATCCTTTCTTCTAATCTACACCTGACTCAAAGACTCAAACTTTCTGCTCCCTCATGACCTCTGCATCCTTCCTCTTCTTCCCTTCTCATTCTCGTGGCTCCCTCACCCCTCTTCCCATGCTCTCAATTTGCTCAGGGGATCTTGACCTTTTCCCCTTCTCCAGGGGACAATGTTTGTCTCTTTTAGGGTCCTCCTTGTTTACTAGTTTCTCTGGCAGTGTGGATTGTAGGCTGGTAATCCTTTACTCTATGTCTAAAATCCACATATGAGTGAGTACATATCATGTTTGTCTTTTTGTGATTGGGTTACCTCATTCAGAATGGTTTCTTCTAGTTCCATCCATTTTCCTGCAAATTTCAAGATTTCATTGTTTTTTATGTTTGTTTTTGTTTTTTTTTCTGCTGATTAGTACTCCATTGTGTAAATGTACCATATTTTCTCTATCCATTCTTCGTTAGAGGGGCATCTAGGCTGCTTCCAGTTTCTGGCTATTGCAAATAATGCTGCTATGCACATGGTTGAACAGATGTCATTGTTATATGAATGTGCTTCTTTTGGGTGTATGCCTAGGAGTGGAATTGCTGGATCTTGTGGTAGACTCCCATTTTCTTGAGGAGTCACCATACTGATTTCCAAAGTGGCTGTACAAGTTGGCACTCCCACCAGCAGTGGAGTAGTGTTCCTCTTTCTCTGCATCCTCTCCAGCATAAATTGTCATTGGTGTTTTTGATTTTAATCATTTTGACAGGAGTAAGATGGTATCTCAGAGTTGTTTTGATTTGCATTTCCCTGATGGCTAAGAATGTTGAACACTTTCTTATGTGTCTTTCAGCCATTTTAGGTTCCTCTATTGAGAATTGTCTATTTAGTTCTGTACCCCACTTTTTTGTTTTTGTTTTTGTTTTTCGAGACAGGGTTTCTCGTGTAGCTTTGGAGCCTATCCTGGCACTCACTCTGGAGACCAGGCTGGCCTCTAACTCACAGAGATCCGCCTGCATCTGCCTCCCCAGTGCTGGGATTGAAGGCGTGCTCCACCAACGCTGGGCTGTACCCCACTTTTTAATTGGATTGTTTGGTGTTTTGGAGACTAGCCTCTTGAATTCTTTGTATATTTTGGAGATCAGCCCTCTGTCAGATGTGGGGTTGGTGAATATCTTTTCCCAATCTGTGGGCTGCCGTTTTGTCTTGCTGACTGTGTTCTTTGCCTTACAGAAGCTTCTCAGTTTCAAGAGGTCCCATTTATCAATTGTTGATCTCAGTGTCTGTGCTACTGGTGTTATGTTCAGGAAGTGGTCTCCTGTACCAATTAATTCAAGGGTATTTCCCACTTTATCTTCTAATAGGTTCAGTGTGGCTGGGTTTATGTTGAGATCTTTGATCCATTTTGACTTAAGTTTTGTGCAGGATGAAAGGCTTGGGTTTATCTGTAGTCTCTACATGTCTGCATCCAGTTATGCCAGCACCATTTGTTGAAGATGTTCTCTTTGTTCCAGCATATATATTTGGATTGTTTGTCAAAAATCAGGTGTTCGTAGGTATGTGGGTTAATATCAGGGTTTTCAACTCTATTTCATTGACTGGTGGAGAAAGAAATCAGAAAAACATCACCCTTTACAATTGCCACAAACAACATAAAATACCTTGGTGTAACACTAACCAAAAAAGTTAAAGACCTGTACCGTAAGAATTTTGAGTCTCTAAAGAAAGAAATTAAAGAAGATACCAGAAAATGGAAAGATCTCCCATGCTCTTGGATAGGCAGGATCAACATAGTAAAAATGGCAATCTTGCCAAAAGCAATCTACAGATTCAATGCAATCCCCATCAAAATCCCAACAATTCTTCACTGACCTTGAAAGAACAATACTCAACTTTATATGGAGAAACAAAAGACCTAGGATAGCCAAAACAACCCTGTACAATAGAGGAACTTCTGGAGGCATCACCATCCCTGACTTCAAGCTCTATTACAGAGCTATAGTCCTGAAACAGCTTGGTATTGGCACAAAAATATAGACAGGTAGATCATAACAGTTTTCTAAACAGAAATGAAATAGGCAAAAATGAAAAGTCCTTATGGAATAGTCCATTCCCTACCCGTTCAAAACACCTTTTGACTCATCACATCGTGCTTCGTAGAGAGCTGAAGTCTGTTTTTTTCTTCACTCCACACACTGCCCTTTTGTTTTGCTGCCTGTGGAAAAGTCTTCCTATTTCTCTCTTCTATGTCATTTTGTGCATTTTCTGTTCCAAGCAAATGATAAAATTAGCTTATTAAGTCCACTAAAGTCGTTTTTGCTTGTTTGGCCAGGATTGCATTAGTTTATCCATTAATTGGAGGATAATAGACTTCCTCATAATTAATATAATTTTCCCATTAGTATTATGATAGGCCTCATTTTATCTAAGTCCTTTGTATGCTCGGATAACATTCCTCATAAGGATTTTGCACATTTTATGTTAGTTTTAAAGACTTTTAGTTTAAGTTAAGGATCATTTACTTTCACATAAAAATCCAGATAATTGGGACATTGTTGTATCAACTTTGTGTTGCTTTTCTCCTAGAATCGTCTACATTTAGTTTTTTTCTGTTTTGTCTCATTAAGAAGCTGCTACTTAGCTGTGCACTGGTGGCACACGCCTTTAATACCATCACTCTGGAGGTAGAGGCAGGTGAGTGGATCTCTTGAGTTCAAGGTCAGTCTGGTCTACAGAGTGAGTTCCATGACAGCCAGGGCTACACAAAGAAACCGTGTCTTGGAAAACAAGGTCATAAATACAATATCATAAGTACCCTTGTAGTTACCTATGTGGTTTGAATATGAAGTTCCCCTCCATAGTCTCATGTATTTGAACAGCTGGTGGCACTCATGGAAGGTTGTGAAAAAACTGAAGGTAAAGTCTTGTTGGAGGTAAAGTCTGGGTGTGGGCCTTGGGGATCATAGTCCAGCCCCACTTCCTGTTGCCTCTCTGCTCCTTTCTCACTGCCAATGCAATGCACCGGTGGACCTCCAGAAGGCTGCCAGGAGGGACTATGTCATCTACAACTGTGAGCCAAATGAACCCTTCTCTCCTTAGGTTCTTTTATATGTATATTTTGTCAGCAATGAGGAAAGTGATTAAATACAGTTATATAGAGGTAGTTATTTTCTCAACACTTGAAAAACAGGTCATCCCTTCCCTCCTGGTTTATAATTTATAAAGCCACCACTACCATTATGTCCCATGTCCATATAATTATGGGAATGTGTCCATTCATTTTTACCAATAAGCCACTTCTAATCATGTGGGTTTCTGATTGGCTGTCGGAGATTGTAGAACAACTCTTAGATCTTTGTTTTGTGTATATGGATCATCTTGTCACATTTGTATTTCATGATTACAATGAATGTGCAGACTGGTTGAGGATTGTTTATGATGCTGAGTTCCATGCTTCTCTGAATAAGTCACAACTACTTATTTTTACTACTTGTTTACAAAGAAATAATTGCATTATATATTATATTTTCTAAGAGTCATGTACAACTTAGACTTAGTCCCAGCCCTGATTTTGTCCCCGTAGTAAAGGACACCTGAAACCCACCTGTTCACCTTTACAAAGACATGTCTCCTTGTTCTCTGTGAGCTGGCTTTGCTAACTAGTGTTATATGTATCTAGCAGCTTTGCTGAACTTGTTCTCTGATGATCTGTAAATTGTTCTGTAACACTCGGATCAGCTATAATAATGATGATTGTGTTTCACCTGTTCTGATCCATATACTCTCTGATAAGGAATATAAATACTCACAGTTGGCATCCTGGTTAGACATCTCTTTTTCCTGCCATCGAAGAGAAGCTTTAAAACCTACAGTTGCTGATGTTTTCTAATAGGTGGTTACATTGGGATAGGGGAATATTCTTCCCCATTTTGAAACCAGTGCTGGACTTCACTGTTTCTTCAGCTTGTATCAACAGTTTTCTTCTAGACAGCCTCTCCTAGTTTCATGAAGTACACAAGTCAAATCTTTCAACTTCTCTTAAAACTTCTCTTAAAACTGGAAGTGGGGTGGGGTGATGTACAGATACACTAGACAAATTCAACCATCACTGGGGAAACTGGAAGAATAACTCCCTCCCAAGCAAAACCACATAATGTCTTTGGAAATTGTCCTTAGAGCATA